AGAACGTAAATATGTGGGTACGATTCTGTAAAATGTATCCGAGGCTCTGCATGAAAGCGAGGTTGGGTTGTCTTTGTGATGACAAAGATGGCAGAAATGACATGTAGTGAGCATAATGACAAGATAATTTACATTTGAAAAGTCACAAGGTTTGATCTCAATTGATCACTAAGCACGGAGCTGTTAAATGTGCTATTGTACTACTACATTCTGCATGATGCTGTTCCTATCTCCATCAAATCATAGTTATTAACTATGATCAAATATAGCGCATGCATAGGCATTTAGAACTGTTTTCACGCAAAATGTTATCACTTTAGTTACAAGGGGACACACCTATGGAACCATATACTCTGGCTCAAATAAAGAACTCGTCACCAATGCACTCTTTTAAAGCTGGTTTAAACAACTAAGTTTAAGATTTTGTTGTGTGATGTCCCTATTAAAGTACAAATAACAGTCTTAAAAAGGGTGCAAATATCACACGATATTCCCTCTCCAGGAAAAAGTTCAGTTTTTATCCTTGGCTTAGCTCTTCTGAACTCACGCAACTTGACGACACAGTTAAGAGTTTCGGTCTCCAGTAGCAAAAAATACGTTGGAAAGAACAATCGCTTATTGGAAATTTTAGCGCCTAATAACACTATATATTTTCTCCTGCGCTAAGCAATTGTATTTTAACTCACCCACTGGGCACGCCATAATACTGCACTGTATAATACGCTATAATACGCTATGCATTATGAAAATCAAGGTTTGTTAGGGCCGCACCAACTCTACGTAAGCCGGAGAAATTTGAAAATGGCCGGCGTTTTCACTCTGAAAACGCATCAAATGTTTTTCGTCCACGCTACGCCAAAGGAATTTGAAAACCCAACAATCAACGGTCATTTTGGATTTGGGGAAATCACATGATCATCGTGACGTCACTGTTGCCGAAAAACTCTTTTTTCAAAATGTTTTTTGTTTAAATTAAAACGTAAAGCCGGCGTTTTCAAATTCCTTTAGTTTGAAGAGCGTTTTCGAAAAGCTCCGTTGTCGTGACGGATCAATGTGGACTGTAGGCCTAGCCATAGATATAAAGCTGCGTTTTCAATTTTCTTAGACTTAATTAAAGTTCTCTCTTGTTTCCAGTCAACAAGTTGTTTACACTGAGGCCACAGGACCGTGACCCAGATTAGTTCCTCTTGTATATTCCATCTCCGATTCATCCTTACGCCAACTAAAAAACATCCTTTGAAAGATGCTTTTGACTCTGGATCTCAGGTCGTATTTTCTCAGAGTGTAAGTAAGCGGGTTGAACAACGATGTACACAGACGCAGATAGTAGATGGTGATGACAACTAGGTAAGGTAACTTACCAGGGTGATGTTGTTGAACGAGCTCCAGAATGAAATACGGTAGCCAGAAGATGACGTACAGGATTAGAAGCAGCACGCATGTCAACACAGCTCTCCGTTGGCGCCGTTGCAACTTCTTCTCGCGCCTTACAAACTCCGCGGGAAGATTTTCCCGCGCAATTCTCTGACACTGCCTGCGAAGCAACAGCAACATGTGCGCATCAAGGACGATCATGACAATTAGAGGAATAAAGAAGAACACGATGATGTTGAACAAAAAGTATATTGTTTCCTTCTCTTGGACCAGAGCCAAGTCTTCAACAGCTGTAGCAACGCTGACATTCCAAGTCCACGACAGGCGAACTAAAGACTGACCAAGACTGATTATCCATGTGATTGCAAGGACTGTAAAAACTCTACTGCGACGGACAATTTCAGGGTATCGTAAGGCCCACATAATATAAATGTAACGATCGCAGGTCATTACGGTGATGTGCAGCACGGTTGACAGGGCCATAAATGTGAAGAATATGATGGAACTCGTGCATACGGAAGTTAGGTGTGTAGCACTACTGCAGGTCACAAGGAGGGGAATGCCGACAAATCCCACCAGAAAGTCTGACACTGCTAAACTGGCCAAGATGATGTTGCTTGTAGTTCTCAGGCACGAGTAACAACTTATAAGCAAGATGACACTGCTATTTATCACCAGGACGAAAACCATGATAACCACGGCGGGTATTGTATCAGGAGGGATTCCAAAACTCGCAGAATTCCCAGGACGAGTATGGTTGTCTGCGGACCCCGTCATATTTCCTCCGTTACTAGTCTGATAAGTCATGGTCTGGTTGTGCGAATTTGTAGTTTCTTTGTTTAACACGCTTAGTGATCAACCGTTCGCTTGCCGGGAACGCTCATTCTCAAGGGGTGAACATAAATGATTGCCTTTAACTGCAAATAGTAAAAAAATATTCAATTTCTTTTCTAATGTAAGACTGCTCTGCGACTAGTATTTAAAATTACGACTATGCTCCCTTGCATGGTTCCGGGTAAGTTTCTGGAAGCCCAACTGATAGAAGCAATATTACATTCTCTAGTGTGATTAGTACGAGATTAAAATTTTTGCTGATCAAACAAATGATTTTGCAAAATCTTGCAAAGATTGCAAAACTACACCAAAACCCAAAATTTTCGAATAAACCTTGAAGCGAGAGTGAGTGAGAGTATGAAGAATATTTTCTTAAGCCGGTTGTAAAATCAATTTGGCTCTTTTTAATCAATTTAAACTTTTTTTCAGTTAATTAATGCAAACATTTAGATCCGTTTCCTGATTAATAAATTTGGTTTTACAGCTAAAGGGGTACCAAGCTGTTCGTGTTTATTTACTGCTTGGGAACTTTTTGAGCCTGGAGCTTTATCAAAGTAGAATTTGCATCAAAATTAAGCCAAAATTCAAAGCAAGTAAATTACATGCTAGACATATTCCTCCAAAACATGACAGGTCAAAGTTGTTAAGCTGTGTTCAGAAGAAAATGTCAAATTTTCAACACAATATTTGTTTCAACGAAGAGCAGTTTTAAAATCTTTTACTTCAAAGTTATCAAGCTGTATTCAGGTTTAACTGAGTATGAAATACCACATTTTCAACACGGTATTCGCTTCAACGAAGAGCAGTTCTGAAATTTATTTCGTTTACGTGTTTGATTTAGTTCCTTTCATTAATTGTCTTTTCAAGGGTCGAAGGATTAAGGAACATTTCCTGCGAGTGTTTGTGTATTTCTTCCTTTTACTCTCTGAAATTTAAATAGTCACAAGCTGTTTCCGAACATAACGATCTTGCATTGAAAAATGTCATGCAGCAATTTGCATCACAACCGATTTCTGAAGTCGAAGTCCAATTATAGCATTCAGCTCATTCCATTTCCTAAGGATGAAAAAGCTTCATTCAGCTGTTTATAATTAACTGCGTTGTAAAAATTAATCTCCACCTTCTAAAATTCACATGTAAATTAATATTCTAGATTTTGTCAGAGCAGTTTTTCTACATATTGAGTAAATGCTTCGAATTATTGTTTGATGTGGCTGTTTTTTCGGTAACTTTTTATCGGAGGGAAGCTCACTACTGCTCATGAGTCGATCGTGTTTAACTCGTTGCCTTTTGATTATTTTTTCCACCGCGAAACTATTAACTGCGAGTCTCGTTGTCTGCTCAACGACTCCGGTGAAATCAAAAGCTTATAATTATCCGTGAGAAACGCTAAAGGAAACTAACAAAATGGAGAGGTGAACGTCAGCAAAACTATCTTATGCTAATCCAAGTTTACCATGTCATAAGAGATACTGATCATGAAGCTTGATAATTTTGCACAAAAATGACACTAAGCATCTTGTTGAAATAAAAATAAA